CACTAACCACTGTACACTATCAAACATCCTCCCCACTAACCACTCTACACTATCAAACATCCTCCCCACTAACCACTCTACACTATCAAACATCCATCACCCACTAACCACTGTACACTATCAAAGATCCATCACCCACTAACCACTGTACACTATCAAACATCCATCACCCTCTCACCACTCTACACAACCAAGCATCCATTGCATATTACCTAATTACCACTATCCACTATCCATTGCTCATCATTCACAACTGGCATCCACTTATACAAATGCCGATCTTTTATTTTGCATTTTTTCAGTTATTGCATCCACTACCCAATGCATTTTCCCTCTGACTACTACAAATTTAATCTGTGAATTCCAAATAAGTCTTTTTTTCTTCTTTCAGCGTTACTCATGAAAATTACTCTCCTTGGCCTCAGCGAAAGGACTCGATAGTAAAATTGAATCACATTCTATCGGATGTCACAGACAGTCATAGAACGAGTATCATCTCCGCCGGAGTTGAAGATCTCACACTTTGAAATATTCGAACCAAGTTCCATACATCCGTTAATCGTTGCAAAATTGCTCCTCAAAAGGAAAAGCCCAATATTATAATTGGTTTTTTTTTAAATTATATTTTTCTTAGTTTTTTTTAAAAACTTTTGCGAAGTTCAAAGGAAGAGTAAGTAATGATCCCGTGGTGCACAGAATTGCCGAGCTGAATTTGTGATCGTGACTAGTACTTTGTATCTCACGTTACCATCTTCGTTCCCATAATCCTTTGCGCTGTGACCGTCGTTACCAGTCTTTCTTCAACCTTCGGAAAGGCAAATATCTGTCATTCGTGTAAGGTAATGTTAGTACTTCTTGTTATATATTTTACTCACTATTTCGCGTCTTGTTGGCCAAAAGCTCTCAGCCAATCTCATGCAGTAGCGTGTAACCTCGACAAGGGCTGTAACGCTATAACGGCATGTTGTGTTGATAAAATCCCGAATTTTTTAAAATAGAGGATTAGGGGAGGAAGGTGGTTTCCCCTCCGCGGTGACTGTTCTAGGTACTAGATAAGATATCTYGCTGCATTTACGATTCCTGGGACACTTGAAAGAACACTTGAGCTCAGGCACTTGGTTGCTATGACGTCGAGAATAGTAAAACTGATTATGTTGTCCCATTCATTCCCAATAGGCCGTCTAGATTCCAAAGCCGTCAATAGACCTTTTTACCGATACGGCGGCCATTTTGAATTCTATTGTTTACATCAAGACATTATGCGATGGGACAACTATTGAAAAAATTATATATAGGCTGCACAGCTGGCAGGGTGTCTTTTCATACGACTTTACGCTTTTCAATGAGAAGCACATCTCAAATGAATTGAATTTGCTGATAGTTGGAAAAATATGCAGAACTCCAAGACTTCAAATAATTTGAGAACGTAACCCCGCCACTCTATGCTGTATCAATGTTCTACTTGTTTGCTCCCTCGGCATCCCATGATTCAAGATGGCCGCCGTATCAGTAAAAAGGTCTATTGAGAAGCCTTATAGCTGAGGAATAACACTTTTCAAGAAAGTGCTTTGAACCCGAACTGAACCAAAGTCTGCCATAGTACCTGTGAAATATTGAAATATTGTCATTCATTAGCCATTCGAAGAAGGTTGAGGGAAAATCTTGGTCGAATTCGCATTGCTGTGCATATTTTGACTGTTTTGAGGGGACATATTTCCAAGATGGCGTCTATTTCGTTCCCTAAAACAGTCCCAAAATGCACTGCAATGCCAACTCGACCCAGTTCTTCCCTCAACCTCGGAATGGCTAAAAGGTTTAAAATAGCTCGATTCGCAAAATACCTTTTCAGCTTGGGCTTAATGTTTTCCCACTTCATGTCATTCCCTTAGCAGAGTAACCTTTCTTTGTTTAACGGCAGCGCACGAGCAGAGACGTGAATGTCGACACATCTCAAACAAAGAATCTTTTCATCAATAGAATAATTAGTCTGAAATGGGAAAAATTAAGTCCACAAAAAAATGGTTTATTCTGCACAGCCGCATAAATGGACATCGACGCTTTTTTTAATGTTATTCTCTTCATGGCTGATCCTTATCTGGCGGACCTTTTACCGCACAGGCAGAAAAAAACTTCACCCCCTAAATCTTTGTTTGAGTTGCATTTGTTTTATATCTTTTTGCTCATCGCTGGTTAAGAAGGAAATAATACTAAATACTTGCTTATGAGAATGACATACAGAATTGAACAGAAACATTAACCTCAAAGTGAAAGAAAACTTGAGTCGTTCTTATGCTCGTTCGTTGTTTTGTTTTTGCCTCGTAGTGTCATCTTTTATGTGTCGGTCTGTTTTTGTTTGTTTGTGTGTGTGTATGTGTGTAATTTGTTTTTGTTTTTTGGGGGGGGGGGGGGGGGGGGGGAAGTGTTGAGTGTAAATATGCTTAGTTCTGTAATTTATGCTTCTATATTATCATATATTAATTCTTAAAATGTTGTTTGTAAATATTAATCCTGCTTTTCCCAAACCACTAACAGGGTAGCCAGTATTATATTGGATGTCAAAACCAAAAATAAAAACAAATTGACTTATTGAAAAGAAGTAAAGTGAGCGAGAATGTATAGTTTTAAAGGGGACTCAATAGTCATCGGTAGAAGTCAAGCTTTAAAGTTTGAAATAAAGACCAAGCAGCAATATGCATATTTCCTATTCCGAGGTGAAAGAAAAAATTAGACTGGGACGAGTTGGGATTACAGTGCCGTCATTTTAGGGCTGTTTAAGGGCACGAAACTAGACACCATCTCGTAAATATATCCCCTAAAACAGCCCCCAAAGGCACGTACTGCAATGTCAACTCGACCTCAGAATGGCAAAATGAATAAATGGTGAAACAGTGCTCACAATTTTGCAAGCAACAGGTATGTTGTAGGCCGTATTCACCCCTAAGGTGTTACTATGAACATCGCAGAAGTAGAATTGAATAGTTAACGTTCGCATGTTCTGGTGGTAGTGGTCGTAATCAAGTACAAAACAATCCGAGTCGAGAAATATTGCTTCCCCAGAGCTCATGACCACTAGACCAAACTGATAAAGAATAAGTTAGCTATTCGATTCTAAGTCTGCAATATTCATAGTAACACTAAATTTTTAACAATTTTTTGCCCACGCGTTGTGCGCAACTRGCTATCGTGCGAGCATGGCCTGCGACGTGATGATGAATATTGTGATCAGGAGTGTATATAGTGATGATAATATGATAATGATATGATGATGATGATATAATAATGTATGTTGATATGATGATGATGATGATGATATGATTATGATAATATGATGATCATGATGATAATGATAACGATGACGATGACGATGATGATGCTGATGCTGATGATGATGATGCATATGATAAAACGATGCATAACGTGTTGATATCAGCCAATATCATTTTGGTGCACCGCTGGCTAGAATTGGGTAGGATTAATACTTTTGTTTATTTCTACGTGTAATATTCCATTGCGCTTTGCGTCGTGCAGCTTGTCTTGTCTCGCACAATATTGATGTAACAAGGCCAACAAAAATAAAAGAACTCGACCAAAAATGCTGCTGGTACTAGTGAACCAGGACGTACTAATTAAGGGAAATGGGGGAATGATAAGCCAATTTTTAAAACGCCAAGTTCCTTCAAGGGTCACGTGATGTGGCAATACCTCCAGAGGGAGGAATTTCTTCACGGTGTCACGCACTGAGGACAGTCACCAATTCCGCTCGGTGTATCGCGAATTCTTTTGATGCCAAAACCTCACTGTCGGCAGCTTAGCAAGAATGTTTGCTGCTTTGAAATACATTAAGAAGATACTCGGTAGGTAACTTCATCAGATGAAGAAGTACATCCAAACTTTTTGTGTTCGAATTATCACCTACTTGAAAAATCTGTGATTATATCACCTACATGCTTCAAACTCGAAAGGGGCAAGTCCATGTTATTTATGGTCAAGTCTAATGACACTAGGAATGCTTGTAGGGTGAGAGAGATTCGTTTATATTTTGAAAGAACTCATATATAGAAAAGGCCATTAACTTATGTCGATATCCAATTCAGTCGTCGGAGTGTGACCGTGGGTCAATTTTGAAATATAATGATCCGTTGGGCACGTGCACGGTTATATCCGGAAGGAGTATGGAATATCTCACTGCGAGGTAATAACAGTTACTCTGTAGCTAAAATATTTGAGATTTTTCAAGGGAGGTATAAATGTTTGCCATTTAGCTTAATCAACATTATACAGCAACACCGCTGACCACCATAACCAGTATAACAAGGGCTCAAAACACGCGCGCATCCTGTTTAGCCGCCAAGTTTAGGAACATGAAAAAAGAAATGTTATCCGCGCTATTTATCACCGCAAGTACAGGATACAGGATGGCGTGTTTCCCATACTTCCTGTTCTTCCTGCAAATGGCAGAGTGTTTATTTCAAAGTACAAGGACACGAATGATTTTTTTATATTGCTTTTTTTTTTTTTGAAAATACAGCGCAATGCCGACCGATAACAAGCCGATAGCCCACAAGCCTTGACCTGCTTGGCACTGGTTTTTGTATCCGGTAAATTAGCCGAATGAACGTGAGAGTTAAGTTGTGGGTGGATAAACGACAAATATTCCGACATGTCCTTGAAAGTGATCATGATACCCAAGACTGATATCGTTAAATGTCGTATTCTAGGTTTGTCTTACACTAGCCTCCCCTAACATGGAAATATGCCATAAGTGAGTGCCACTCGGTCGACTCAGTTGGTTGAGCTTCGAACTGTACTGTAGCTGGAACAACTCTCAGGGTCTTAAAATAAATGAGGAGWAAGTGCTGCCTTTGTATAATTTCAATATGGTTAGAATTTCAAGTGGCGGCTCTGATGGCCACTTTAAATGGCGGTCCCGTCGTCTCTTCACACTTCATTACTTACTAACCAATATCGGAGGAGCGTAAAGGAACACTGAGGACGTAATGAAACCCTGGCAGTGACCATCCTCAGTGCCTACTCTTCAAACTATATATATATACTAACCACTTCTCATAAATTCAATAATAACTATACTTTTCAAAATCATGTGATGGCAGCCATGACACGAGGCACAACAATAGAGTATTTTTCTCCCTGGAAAAAGAATGCCTCTCAGACGTGTAAATCAAATTAGACTAGATTCAATTGTACCTTCCTCATTCACATGATCAAAGTCTGGGCCTTTCATCATATCGATATGAAAATGGACGCTATATATGTAAAACATAAATCATAGTCATAATCTGATGATTAGAATGGATGGACACGAAGGATTTTTATTTTTATTTTATTTTATTACCTTACATCAAATAATAATAATAATAATAATAATAATAATAATAATAATAATAATAATAATAATAATCATGAATAATTTCATTTCACACAGAATTCAGAAAGCTAATCACTTATTTACACTGAAGCTGTGCATAAGAAAAAAAGTACAAATATAAATTAGAAATGAAAAACTAATTAGTAATCACTAATAATGCG